AACGTTATTTAGCTAATACCTATTTGTGGTTGTTTTAGCTTCTTATTTTTTCTATTTTCATTTTCTTCACTAAATAAAATTATACATAACAATGTATAATTTTATCATATTTTTGTTGATATTATATGCCAATATACAAGTCTGATTTTGATTTTTGAAGTCACTTTAAGAATCACTTTGTTGTAGTCATCTGTCAATTTGAAAAATCTAGACTATTGTTTGATTATTATTACATCATATTAAATTACATTAGAAATTGTAAACAAAACTATATTTTATTAAAATTTCTAAAAAGTAGAAAATAATAATATACCTATTTTTTATAACATAGGCAGCAGCAAGCGAGTTTGCGACAGACCTAATGGTATATATTTTCTGCCGCCTATGAGCACCAGAGGAATTACAGTTGAGATGTCTTTTAAGAAAAAAAAATAATTATTAAATCTTATCTTTTCTTCAATGTTTCAATATGTACTCAATAACATTTCGTGAATTAAGGTTCTAGTATAACGTGAGGGTGATGACCACTATTCATTCAGATGTTTAGGACAGTATTTTAATCACCTTAATTAATATCCTCTTAAAATACTTACTAGAGAGAACGTGTTAATAAATTATTCGGTATAGTAACCTATTCATAACAAGATACTTGAATTAGTAAGTTAATTTTGTTTCAGCATTCCTTGTTTGTGGGGCCTATATACAAATATTTAATTTGTATATAGGCCTAAAAAAAATAATAAGGTTTGTGTTACGGCGGGCATAGCACGACGTAACGATTGTTGATTTTATGTACATACGTAGACAGACGTAGTAGCCCAAGAGCCCACGACGGGCAGACATACGTCATATTAGTAAACGTGAAATGCTCTAGTTCAGGCAGTCTGAAAGGAGCTGTACTGTTGGTAAGCTATTAGATATATATTGTCTGATACTAGACTAGAAGCATAAATTTTTAATTAAACGTAAAGTTTTGTGTGCTTTATTGTTTGGTTTTTTGCAATTAAAACTTAATAATTGTCAATATTGATAAATCAAATAAGAAGCTAAAAGAACAAATGATCTGGTATATATAAGATAATAATATATTTATACAGCGGTTAGTGTGTGTAGTTTAATCCGGAGCCAAGATGCCTGGAAGCCGCACAATCTAAGTAAGCCGGCCGTGTTAGAACTTCCATTTCCATTATTCCCGGCGTTGCTACGTTACTCCGCGTATCTTTCCTAATCCGTGCCCGCGAGTAAACCTTTTCTCGCCTTTAACTTTTCTTACAAAAAGTTGCAAATTAAACGAATAATAGTTCGCAGGAAGTTCGAAGTTAAATATTAATTCACTCGTGCCGTGATATAAATATAGTGGTTCTATTGTAAGATTTTTTTTTTATTTTTGATAATGGAATGGTGCACCCGCCTGCGCTTACGGTTTACGCTGGCGGGGCACCAGTGAAGGATGATAAGATGAACATGAGGTCAGGTCAGTTAGCCAATCGTGACAAATTTACCAGGAATTTATCTCGATTGTTTCCAGGGGGAACCGCGTGGAGGTCAAACTGACAGGGTGCATTGCTAGTATTGTGAGTCCTCATTACTAACAATCCCCTCCCCCCTATTGTAAGATATTAGTAAGTTGTATGAATAACAGTACCTAGAATAACATATTACTAAGTGTATAGAAGTAGTCATAAAAGATTATTCGGCTAATAATATTAATATGTTACTATTAGCGCTAAGTTTGTAATAATACTTTTCGGTTAGGACGTAGTTATTATGCATGGGATAATTACTCTTATTATGTTTTGAATTTAAAGCTGTCTTCATTATTGACCGCATTTATTTTAGCTTATTATGACAGTCATTTACAACCTATTCAAATTAGTAGTTTATTTCTCTTTGAATTTTGATAATTGTGGTGCACTGCGATGTGCACTACTATTGCATGTATCCATTTGATAGTTGTAGTCTTAATGACGGCAACTACTTATTGCATAGAAATGTTATTAAAAATGTAACATAGAGTTATAAAAAAATGTAGTACTACTAAAGTTGTAAAAACCAGCTGCGGTCAATGGCATGAGAATAGTTCTAAAAAAGATACCGAAATTCATATATAGCAATACTATATGGACAGTCAGACATACAATTTTAAAGATATATTTTTAGTATATCTTTAAATAATGAGCGTATTTTCTAGAATTCGGTAGCCAGCAAGTAAAATAAGCCGTATTTTAAAGATTATTGTAACAAAATTAATATCCTTAAAAGCGAGTCTCGATGATAAATGATATCAGGAAATGGAAAGTGAAAAAATAATCAAAGAAAGCGAAAGAAATTCAAATTACCCTTAATAAATTCATTATGCGATCAATTACTTATATTGCAGAGAATAAATTACAGGGATTGGGATAAAAAGAAAGCAGTTACTTAGATTCGTAAAAGGCAATAATGTAGAAAATGAACTTAAGTATATACAAGTAATCTTTCTATAATAGATTATTACAAAATATTTTGTTGCTACGTTTTAATTTTAGGTACGTTTCTTTAGTGGAAATACCAGATAATATATAGCTAGTCTATATTATCTAATATTCATAAATAGTTATTAAGCCATAATAATTATTATTGATGCTACATTACAGTGATTGAACGTAAGTTTCAGATTTATTTATATATTTTTGAACAGAAACAGGTGTACCTTATAAATGGAAATCGTTGACATAAATAATATAAGAAACAAGATATGATTTGAAAAGACAACATCTGGCTGTTTAAATTTAAAATTACATAATATTTTTAATTTATAAATTCAAAGAAGCTTCTCTGTAAAAGGGCTGGAAAACTTTAAGTGGGTATGTCGATGTAAAGAGAGTTTAATGAAGTGCGTCCCACTTTTAATTAAAAAGAGTTTATTTCCTATTAAAAAGGGATCAGTAAAGTCTTATAGCATTGCTGAAAGAACAAAGTAATAGAGTATTTGTTTACTACTTAGTTTGAAGGGATAAAGTTATCTTAAATATTAAAAACCCAAGGAATAAATTGCTTTACTATATTTTTATTATTATGGTACCTACTCTCAAACATAGATTTAAATTATTTGACTGTAAAATTGCAAATGTTAAATTAACTGGATATTTAAGGTAAATAAGTAATTTATTAACTACCGGCATTTCGACGATGTTACAATAGTTCTTTATAGTTATGGGTCAACTAGAGATGGTGTTGTATGTTAATAATTAGTTATAACAATCAGATAAATTGTCTACTAGATATTTTAGTCTTTATCACCGTTATGACTAGAAAATACTTAAAAGTCAGAAGACAGAACATACTCACTGTATCTTGACTTTTTGCATACAGGTATTACTTTTTTTTAAGGATAGGTTTAATACTAGAAGGCCTAATACTGGAGCTATTTATTAAATTAGCTTAAGATATAAACTTATTTGTTATAATAATATAATTGAATGATAATGTCTCCAATTGACCTGAATATTTAAATGTAACACACAACTCCGTGCCGTCGAGGTTACACGGCTTCCGAAGTTTTGTATTTATGTACATCAGAATTCAATATTCCGTGAAATTCAGGTATTTAACAATTAAACTAGTAATTGTTTATAATACAACATTTTATAATAGTTAAATACTTTATAATCAGAATTAAACATTTTTTATAAAAATTACGTTGCGCTGCAATCAAAATATTATATACAATGAATATATTACTGAAACTAAACAGTGCACAAAAATAAAATGTTTAATGACATGGGCAGAAGAATGTTTAATATTCAATCAGTGTGGGGTCGCATTGTGGCTCTTCCCGCCACTCTACGTTGAGTGGGGTAATAAAGTAATAAATAAACAAGTAGGTTGATGGCGTAGCTGAGGGTCTCGCTGTCACACCGCGCCAATCCGCTGTGACATTGACTGCAGGTAACGAATTTGCTTCCATAATTAACTTTATATGCATAACACTACACAGATTCCCCTATCTGACTGACTAAAAAATCTGATATAAAATCTATCTTATTTTACACTACTATGTTCTCTTTCTTCAGCACAATCTAACGTACTAACTGTAGCTAGTAACTTGTTTCGTCTACTATGAAAATATTCTATGTTAGGATAAACCAGAATATGATCACCTGTAAGCAAATTCGTGCCAATTTTCGGAAGTCAATATTGCTGTTTTGTTTTATGAGAGGGTGTAATTGCGCGTAGGAATATAATACGAAAAAGTAAAAGTTTAATATTAAGGTTTACTGTTTAATATGCATGTGTACAAAAAAAAACTTAACTAGTTCCCAAAACTTTTAATAAAAAATGGACGATTATTAAACATTTCTTTAATAATGATATTTTACATAAAATGTAATTTAATTATAGTTCCCTTTACCACATTCTTAAACTGGCTTTAATTTATAAAAGTATTTATCATTTCAACTTCTTTAAATCAGAACGTATAAATAAACAAAAGATTATTAATAAATCATAAATACAGGCATGTAAATGTTCCATGTTAATTTAATTAAAATGATATAATATTAATTATTCGTAGTAGTACGCTTTCAGGCTTTGTCTTGGAGCACACTGTGCCTTGACCTCATTCTGAGACTAACGAGGCATTCGATGGTGACTCTCATTATTTCGCGACCTGTCTCCGTAATTACAGACAATTCCAGTGTGATTATATTTCCTAGCCATTTTTATCTTTCTTACAATTTATTTTAATTTTAAACGAAATACATCTTCTTTATACTTTAACAAATTATGTGAATAAGTTTTAAGCATTTGATATAAACGACTACATAAACCACGACCGTAATTATAGACTTTGTTTATTTTATAGTGAAAATAATAGCTAGTTCCAACCATTAAAGAAGTTGAAGAGCCTTGTTTTTAACCAATTCTCCTATTTATAAAATACATTTATGCCAAGAATTAATGCTTTTAGATACAATTACAAGTACGTCTATAAGTCCCATTTAATAATGGCAATTTATTTACTGGTTGTAGAACAGGAGATATTCTGTGAATCAATAACTATTCTATAGTTATTGACACATCACGGATATAATAATTAATATAATTCAGAATCAAAATGGGTCTTTCAAATTTCTCTTGAGAGATAACATACAAATAATAAAAATCAATCGCTATTAGAAATAACCCGCAATCTAAAATCACGTGTTGGAAACTGTTTTAAAAACCCTTTTTTATTGTCTATATTTTTTATAAACACCATATTGTTTTTATGCATGTCACATAAGTCAATATAATATTCTGTTATACCGGTACCGTTTTTTTGGTCGCCTATGTAGTGTTGATCTCCTTCCTTCATATCACGCGTAAATCCTGTACCAATCATCAAGGTAATCTAAATCCAATTAATTCAATATCTGACCAACAATTTTTCATGACTTGGATGAAAAACACTTAAAAACTTTTTTTTCTATAATGGCTATCAAGCTGTCTGCTCATCTAACAATACTGTAAGTATTTACTAGTCTATAAACAATAATTTCACAGGTCCATGTAATCATAAATTTAACAAATGTACTCTTTTAATTATACATAATAATAATGTACGTATACAACACACACGGATTCTTTAAATTAAAATAGTATAGTTATTTATACGCGGGCAGGGAGCGATTAATAGATTTTACATCGAATCATTATCTTACTAAAAAATATCTGTTCCACTTACTGAAATGATATTACGTAAAAATTTGATTCAGTCTTCATTAAAACAAAGAATGTAAAGCTATGGTAGAGATAACTGTGACGCTTTATACGACGGCTATCTCACGAAGTTGGGTCGGAAACTCGTTGGAGAAACTAGTCAGAAAATTAATCTTATCTCAATTTTCCTGTGTTTTCCTTCTCGGCTGTGTTTAATTGTGCAAGTTTTAATTACATGCAAACCGAATGCTCTAAACCGACGCGGGACCGTTCATTCAGTGAATATTTACAGCAACAATGTTCCCAGTAAATTGTTTCTAACAGAGTAGGTAGCCAAATTATCTACTTCGATGTCATTATGTAGTTTAAATATCCAATGATGTAATATTCTAAGTTATATACCTCACATTATTAATAAATATAATAATTCCTATAATTCCTTTATCTATATTATTGTACTGTTTTATCTTTTTATTACGAATAAAAGCAAGAATAAGTCATGCCTATCATTAATCAATTCACACTCGCTTCTTACTACAAGCTTGTAATATAAAAATGAATTTTGGGAACAATAAATTATCATTTTCCAAATATCGTTGATAATAATTATTTGTTTTAATCCACAGTTCTTTCTGTAGATGTGGTATACCGGTGTGGTAGTACCGGTATTATAAAGAAAGTTTTTACTTAGTTTTTTCATGAAACAATAATTGATGTTATTATAACTAACTATAAAAAATGTCTATTTATAGATATTATTTTTCAATATTTTTACTTATTCTGTGTTCATATCTGCAATACCAGTTATCACATCTCTGCTTATCTCATAATATCTTTATGAGACGATTTAAAATCTTTTCTTTCTCATTTCGATTTTTTATTACGCGCGTTTATTACTCGAGCCCTGCTCTTACCACATTTCGTGGCGGCGAAATGACACCGCGACTTTGCTAAGAACGACGTCGAATTGCAAAATTAAAATCATTTTAATAATTCCAGCCACGATGTGACTATAAAATGTGCTTTATATTGAATAATTTTGACAACCCCACATTTAAAATTGAAGAACGCACGTTTTGTACCGTGATAAAAGAAATGCTTGTTTCTTGATTTTTAGGTAATGTAAGATTTATTTTTAGTTTTATTGCTAAATATTAAATTTTACTTACCTTTTTTGGTTTACCTACTCTTTGTATATTTATAAACGAAATGTGGCCAATGAATTATTTTTAAGAGTTAAAATTATTATAATAATTTTTAATTTATACGTAATTCAATGAAAAATATAATTTTTTGCTATACATACATAACATAATTACATTTAAGCTTAATTTTAATATAATTAATGTGGTAAGATTCAAAATAGAACCTCTCTGTTTATACAGAGTAAGTAGTTACTAAACCTTATGAATATACCTACCTATAAATGTCACGTACCTACTTACTTCTAAGAAAGGTCGTTTAATAATAAATTACGTACATCATTTATGAGAAAACGTTACAATGATCCACGAAATTCTTTCTTTCTCAGACAAGTTTATTACAAAATGCTCAGAGCACCTACTTGAATAGAAATTGTAGATATATCTCATGTTGACATTTTCATCCATTACATTATTTTTATTATGAGCCCCTGCTATAATATATTATAGTGGTATTTTAAAATAATAAAAATGAAATACTTTTGTTAATTAAATGTGTTTAATATGACAGACAATGTATAAGTACAGTAAAAGAAATATGTCTTTTATTAGACAGCTAAGATTGTAACTTTGTTTTTTGCAACTTTTAGCAAGAATAATATTTAAAGTCGATAAAACAACAGACAGCACCATCTGGCATAACTGTACTTGTAGTGTTACTTTATTATGCTTTAAAACTCATATTATAAATTCTGTCTAAATTTCTATGTACCTATAAGTACACACTTACAATTTCTAGTAAATGTTATTTTAACTTTCCTTCACAGTTAATAGATGTTGTGGTATCAGTACATAATTATATATTCTTATTGATGGCCTCAGTGTTCTAGCACTTTGGCACATCGCTTTACATCCAATAGTCGTAAGTTCGATTCATCGTACGTAACATTTGTATTCATGAGTGTGATTGTTTTTATCGGTCTGGGTATTTTCGGTTATATGTTATGTACATAGGTATGAATTTACAAAAAAAATCTCAGTAATTTTATCAGTTGTCTAGCACCCATAAAACAAGCACTGCTCACCATGAGACCAGACGATATAATGTTAATTGTCCAGGGTTATTTACTTATTTTTATTTTACTACACAAATTTAAAATGAGACATAATTTTCTGCCAAGCGGTAATAAGTAATGATAGGAAATATCATTTATACTTCTTATTTTTATATCCTTTATTGAATATTGTATAGTAACGCTTTACGTATAAAGCGAGTGCAGAGGTCACGTCCTCAATTTTCGTTTGTATTTGCACACATAAAGGCGTGCTTATAAACATTATTTAATTATTCATTTATTAATTAAACAAGCTAAGTAGCCACATAAATTGTGTAAAGGTTCCTTGCAACCCTACTAATCACACTGATGAACAAGTCAATACTGAAAGGCATCCATTTCTGGTTTAATTTTGGATGTCGATAACAATATTTGCAGCGCTACCGGTGCTGGCAGTTAGAGATAAAAGGCTTGTTCGGCTGAGCCGAGTCACATACTCACTAATCGTCCCGATCGCGAGGACACCCTTTGTGTCACGATCTGCCCGTTTTGTGCGGAACCTTGCTGTGTAGGCGACACATACAAAACGTTTTCCGATCTCGCAATGTGAGAATCCTTTTACAGTGATTTAGGTTGTGTCCCATCTAACAATTTCAATGTGTTACTTTATATCTAGCACTTACTATTAATTGGAGGTAGTAGAAGTGAATTCTAGTTGTGCACGACGCACCTCTTTGTATATTATTTATGTATTTTGTCTATTATTTTATATAGAAAAATATATATGACATTGTCATTCTTGTTCTGTTAATTATTATACTTTTGTACATAATATTATATTATTGCTTCCTAAAAAAAAAAAAGATGACGTGTTTGACTCTAGGAAACTTATAACGAGATTTATTATTAACAAATCCGTGAACGGACTCGATGCAGCGCCATATATCATTGAAGACATAAGATATGTTTTCAATGGTTCTTTAGAACTGTCTCTCCAAGTAAAACGTTGCGCATCACAATATACGTTGTGGATTTTAACCTGAGGATATATTGCTTTAATGTCATCGTTAATTATGACACTCTCCTCGTGAAAACGATTTACAATATTAAGAAAAGATTTCAAGAGATCTGGTTCACGCAAAGGTAACTTATTTGAACTAACTCCTAATTTGGCAACTGCATTATTGACAACTCGTAACTTGTCACTACCTAAATCGTAATCACATACATTATTTACAAAATGAACAGCATTTGTTCTATTCGCTACAAACCCGAAAAGAACCCACCCTAGTACCGTAAGAATGGCAACAGGTTGAGAACTAGTTCCCTGTCTTACTGCCATGGGAATAGACAAATTCCAATTATCTATACCGATTATAATGGTAGGTTTGACATTATAACATAATTCGTCAGCTATATCTAACAAATATGGAAATGCAAGAACATCACTCTTATTGACATTTCGATTCGCCAGTCCGAGGTTACTAATAGATCTAGCTTGTTCGATGACAAAGGAATCAGCAGATCTCTTTCCTTTTATTTGAAAGTCAACATACTCGACTTGCGACTGTTTTGATAAGCCACCAACACACTGCAGTTCAATTTGTTCTACTGTACCTGTTACTCCAATCTGAGAGGTAATTTCTGAGTCAATGAAGGTAGCCTTGGACCCGTCATCCAGTAACGCGAAAGTATCAACAGAACCCGCGGGACCAGATACTGTGACAGTGACAATCTTTAGTAATGGCTTACAAGAAGTAGTGGTACTAACAGAAGACGTCTGTGTTACCAATTCCGACGGAGACTGCTCTGCATTACCATACATTACCTGCATGTGACATTGGCCGACTTGACTCTTCAGATACCTGTATATTAGCTGCTGAATTAATAAAATTTGGATTATGAAGTAACTTGTGATGTTTATGTGTGCAACCGGTTTTATTGCAAAGTCCTTTAGTACGACAAGTATTATAATTTATTTTCTTTAACGAAATGCCATTTATTATGAACTGTCAATGCCAAAAACTTATTACAATTGACTAATGCGTGAAATCCTTTACAATATGTATAAATTTGTTTTGATGAATTTTTTAATGAATTTTCATCCGTTGTAAGAGATGTTTCAATACAGGAACCCGTCTCGAATGTTTGTGACGACTGCTCCAGCAAATCATACACTTCCGCGGCATTTACACGTTCTGTTTTTTTATGCCTGTCAATATTGGAAGTTGTGTTAAAACTGAAGTAATCCGTGACACCAAATTTAGCTTGAATCTCAACCTCACGACATAAAAATTCAGCGAGCATTTCTAGCTTATTTTGACCACTATATTCATGAGAAATAGCAAAATCATACCATCTACTTTTTAACACAATAGGTAGTTTTAATAATAATGTATTAAATAATTCAGGTGATTTTATATAGTCACCGCCATCTAATAAGCGTAGAGTCTCTACACAATTACGAACTTTACTAGCAAATGTTGATAGATCTTTATCGTTACCTAACCTCGGCAACGATCTTACTGAATAAAGTTCTTGTAATATAATTAAATCTGGTCGTCCAAATCGAACCTCGAGCGCACGCATAACAATATCTGGGTCTCGAGCAGTCACTAAGAGCTTGTCAACAGTCTCTCGCGCGATACCTCGTAATGCGTAGCTCAGACGAGCTAAGTTCTCTATTGGTGAATAACCAGACTGTGTGTCCTGAAACACACGTTTAAAAGAAAGCCATTCCGTAAGGGATTTTCCATCATAATGAGGAAGTTTTATATTAATCCCTTTCGGAGCGGTAATTTTATCTGTCAACTTATCTACTGCCGATACTAAGGCAGCGATCGGTTCAACTATGGCGACAGTAGGGGGATGTATGTTTACCGTAGGAATCTGCGGATTATTAAGAAATTGCGACGAAATAGGATAATTATTGTTATCTAACTATTTGTCCACAACTTCCGAGCAGCTACGATGAACACTAGCACGACTACCAGATCGGCTGCCCCGGGAACTGATTGCTTCAATTTCTGCTTCGTATTCCTTCCTCGCCGCCTCCAACTTAGCACGACGAGCTTCTGCCGCCTCCATTTCAATTTGTGCAAGGCGGTATGCATGCTGTGTTTGAGCTGCAAGTTTTTTAGCACGTACCGTGGTAGATGAGCGGCTGCAGGCCGATGTACTCTGAGTACTAACCGCGATCGGTGGTACGGTCGACACTAGCGCCGTGGCGCGGGCATCAGATTGCGTTTCCTCTGCCGGTAATGGCAATGGCAACGCTTTTGCCGTACGAGGGTTTGCCGATCCTAGTTTACGACCCGACCGTGTTTCCATATTTATAAAATTGTGAATTTAAAATTTAGAAATTTGTTAATAAATTATGGGAGAAGGACCAAAAATGTGAACGAAGGACTGTATATATATGGGGCTGGTAAATATAATTATGCAAACACGGGTTTTAGGAAGCAATAATATAATATTATGTACACTAGTCATGACCATTTAAAATTATTATTAGCATATGCAATGTTAAAACTATTTATTTATTTAATGCTTAATAATGATTACAAATATTTACTCATATACACCAGATTAGAGTGGTGAAAGTATCATATTCTTTATTAAATATGTAATAATTGTTGACATAAAGTGCCCTCACGAACTTCGAGTTGATAGGGAAGCTTGAGAACGTGACAAACGATAGAATCAGTATGTCAGTTATGAAAGTTGTGGAAGTATGTACAACGGAAAATGGAGATTCCATATACAACATACAGGATATAGTTCACTGTAGGCAAATAATTCCTTTTTTATAAATTGCAATGTTTTAAATTTTTTTAAATGGAATTTTATCATTGGTTTGGGTGTTTTCTATTTATATTATGCATGTATTTAGATAAAAAAGATCTTTATGTTATTTTTTTAGTACTTATAGTTAATTTAGCTTAATTAAGGGCTATAGAGAACTGTGCTAATTGTAATATAGTATTACTATTCATACTTACATCAAGACAATGGCAATAAGTTGCCTGTAAGAGATTGCTTACTCTGATAAAACCGTTTTGGTTAATGCAAGTTTTTAACATACCTACTGTTTGTTATCTGAGCGGAATAAATAGGTAATATTATTATTGTTAGGAAATACTGTGCAGAATTATTTCACTGAGCCTTATTTAAGCTGTCTTGGACGTACCAGCCTGGTACTATGTGAATTAGGCCTTAATCCAGTATAGCATGCCTATCTTACTTGTTAGATATTAAATACCTATAGTTAAGTGACTCTTAAACATTGCAGACATACTACAAAATATATCACAGATCATACCTTCGTACTATTATTTCTTAAAGGGGTGCCGACTTGGGAAATACATCACCCCACCATAACTATTCAGTAAACGTATAATTTCGAAAATACAGAGACCACAAATTCGCTTCGAGCAACGATTAGGACTAATTGAAGACTAATTGTAAACTGCGCTCGTCTTGAGCATTGTTCCTAATACGAAACTAACTTAATGCAGCAAAGTCAAGTATATATATTTTATTGGAGAACTTAAAAGATTTCTCAAATATCTTTTATTTTCTATTACTTTACTGCTGTTATTATTATTACAGAACATATGTACAACGTTCATTAAAATATAAATTTATTCTTAAGAATAATATATATTTCGAAATTACATAATAATTTTATTCTTTAATTATATTATTATAAACGGAATATTTATTTACACCATGCATGATAATATATTTCTGAGGTTTAGGGGTCGAATAACCATAAAAAAAGTAACAAAGCTCATATAAAATTATGAATATTCCTTAATTACATGAGTTGTTATTTTTGTCTTTATTATTGACTATTAGGTAGGTAATTAAAAAAAGTTATTAATCTATAACTATTAATTTAAGTTAAAGAATGGTATTTTTTATGTTTCATTTATTTTTATAAGATCTCAATGTATTTTACACAAATAGTGTTTGAGTAATTATTTTTATTAAATCAGGGGATAAATGACTATCATAAAACATTATTTATACTTATATAAGAAATTAAGATAAAATTGAAGCATCGTCGCATCAGGACAGAGAAGGTAATGACAGTAAAAATGATGGTAGCATTACCGTCCCGACATGACCCTTGGCTTCAATGACCGGAAATTCCAGATAAGTCCAGGCATAACGACGCCTTGAATGTTTCATCTCACTATTTCACTTCCCAAGCGAATAACCATTTGCTCTGAATAGGTAAATCAATGATATTTGTTGCGTTGTCATATTTTGGCATCGAAGGAAATATCTTTCCCTATCTCGCACATGTATTTGTAATTTTCCCTTATCCGCAACTTCATTCGCTAACATTATTCAAATATTGGACATATATAAGAGTTTTTCAATTTAATCTCTATTTGTGAATATCAAATTCAAAAAGTAAATATTATTAATAGATATGCACTTTACTTGGATTTTCTTTTCTCTTTACTATATTTTTATGTGTAAACTTTAATGAATTTAAGTTCTTTCATTCTAAATACAAGATTATTCTATAAGTATAACTTGATTCAGATTATTTCATGATAAATTTACGTTAATCTTTTACTTTTATAAAAGACCATTGCAACTTACCACCGTCATCACCTTTGCCATTACAGTTGCTTAAGTATACCTATTATATTACTCCGAGATTCTTCTTATAAACTATATTTACCTACATAAATAGATAATTTTAAGATCGTCTACTACTAAATACATAATACACAATACTGCATTAGTCGGTCAAACTGTGACCCAACCTGTTACGCTAAGCCCGTCGGTCGCATAGAGGGAATATATGTCATGGGAAAATCACGTAAGCCCTCTAAATCACATCATTTCCCATTAATGACTGTTATCTATAGTACCTAACATTGTCACTAAATTACTATGAAATTGCTTTGGACGTGTTGATTACATGTATCTTGATATGAGTTAGGGTGATGTGGTGACTACTGTAACCTGATACTGATTTATTAAATGACATACGTTAGTCAGTTAGATGGGTTAGTTAGAGATATGTTTGTTGTATGTTGTTCATTGACCCATTTTGTAAATGAATGATTGAATGAAACACTATTACGTAAAAAATTATAATTCACATTCAAATCTAACTAAAAATCTTTTCAGAAATATATATGATTAGGGACTCTCTGTGCATACTTAAAGAACTTCATGATATATATTTTATTTTCTATTCCAAGTTATTCATGCAGGTTTCCCACGCGAACTGTTGCGCTCTACAATCCAGTTTTATATGTATTTCAAATCTCCATTGTGTACTGTAAAACTTCTTTAAAATTCTAGTTTACAAAAGAACTAAAGTGTAAGTACTTTGAGCTTTTTAATGTCCACCTACTTTTGTCCTCTAATGTAGAATACAACTTTCGAACATTAACATGTTAAGGTATAAATATATATTGCACAGCACTTGCACATTACTAATATATCTATGCAGACTGTCTCATATATCCTAACAGTATTTGTTAGCAGAATCAATTCACTATTTATGTTTTTTTTTGTTAATACAGGTCTAAACGTTCTTTTTAGAAAATTTATAACAATGAACAAATAAAAATGACTGGAATATTACAGAGAGGGTCTCTGTAATATTTCCAGTCATTTTTATAATAACGGAGTTTATGTATAATTGGTCCTCTAAATAAAAAAAGTTAACAATTATTATATACTGATTGGTTTGAAACCTGTTCAGAAGACGATAAAAAATATTTTTGAGAAGCAATAGTAAATCGACTTCCTGAGGTATACAAATGTAACAGAAGATTGCCGCCGTTGCAATATTCATCTGGTGTAATAAAAAGAGGTTATTCCATTAATGTTATTGAAAAATAGTCGTTAGTGTGAGTGGAGTCGAGTGGCGGGAGCGGCCCGTCGGTCGGGCGCGTAGAGACGGCAGCGAGGACTTCGTTTGGAACTCTTCGTATGGAGTTAATTGGATTTTTCCGTTTGCCACGCCGCGTACGTGTGCTGTTTGAATAATAAGTGCCTTTATAGTGTTTTCAGGCTTATTCGTGTGACCTTCGTATATTGTCACTTGTAGAAGTACACGAATTATATAAAACGGATACCAATAAACTCTATTGTTATTAAGTGTTTTTATAGGAGAGTTTACGGTATAATGATACACCTGAATATATGGGAACATCACAGAACATGATGAATCAAATGAAAATATATGTAGCACCTTGCATAGGTGAGAGATCGGTGAGAAACACAAACCTGTAAATAGTTTTCTACCAAGAGTTAAGTTTATATTGATATGATTTAAGTTTATATAAAGAAAAACATTGTTACGAAATATGAAGAAAATAATATAATAAAATAAAGACTTATTATGTAAATAATATAATATGAGAAAAATGTAACATCAGTATATTATTTAAGACAGATAAGAGAATTTCGATATTTCGAATGTCGTATGTTACCTAATACCATATCACTGATAGATATATCACTGTCAAGCCAAACAAGTAGAAAAAGCGATATGTTCTAATACACTGCTAGAAAGACAGCCGAATATATATGATACGAGAGTAGAACACAAGTCAGTTATAAATAACAAGCACTTCGCGAAGATTCACGTACAGTGCCAAATACGTACATTTTGCCATAGCAAAGACAAATGAGGACATTATCTGGGTGAGGAGAAACGCGTGTTTGTAGTTTAGAAGGTTTACTGAGAAATAGAATTAATTATTCCCGGTTCACAGGTGAACTAACAGTGTAACGCAACTGTCAACCCTAAGACACCCGTACTCGCAAGTATTAGAGCAAGATTGATTGCTACCTTATTTGTCAAATATGCTGCTTAGTGATGACAATGCGAGGTACGATTTCTAAATCATAGAATATATCACATCGTAAAAAGTTGTTTCTGTCTATCATGCTTTGTAAGTTGTATTTCGGTTAAATGTTGACTGACTGAATTAACGCAACATATTAGTCCTCCAGAATGGAAACGCATGATATCACAGGGTCACATGATAATATAATGTAATGATCGTAGTGCTCTCAAAATGTATAGGTGAGGGTTACCATTATATATATATATATATTAGGCGGATCGCCTAATATATATAATTTTAACATTCCGATTGAAAAACATATACTTCAAAATAAATTGTCTTAGATCGTTGGTTTGGAACACGAACTTACCACTAAACTCTAAATTAAATATCCTCAATTTACACAAAACCAGTGAAGCATGTTTATATCTAAATAGGTATGGGTAAAGTGACAGGTATTGAAAACGTTACTGCTACGTTCAAGCATATTACTCAGAT